TGGACTCTCTCTCTCTCTCTCTCTCTTCGCCCGAAGACGATACCTCGTGGACGTGCTGGCACTAATTGCACCACGGAATAATTGCTCGATAAACATCCTGTTAATCTCACTTTTATGTTCCATACATTGTAGCTGTGTAGCACGCGAGGGTCTCGTTTTCCCTCTCCGTTCCACGCACACGAAACACGACAATTTCCACTCCTCTCCTCCTCCTCCTCCTCCGTATATCCGGTATACATACACACGCCTTTATATTATTATTCCCCCCTTCCACCTTCTTTTATATCCATTACGACGCAATTACGAAACGCGACTCCGTTGCGACCATCTATCCGAATTGCGCGCGATCAGTAAGTGGAAACGGGTGGAATTCGTGGAAACAATCTCTCTTTTATCTTTACGCGAGACAGTTCAACGCGAGTTTCTTTTTTCTTCTTTCCTCGTATATTGTAACGGATTATTTTGTCGATATTCTTTTGACACAGTGTATTCAGAATTTTTTCGTTTTCCAAGATTAAGAGAGATCACGTTATCGTTATAATAAATTGTAACCGTGGGTTTTAATATCGATAAATTGTTCGAGAAAAATAAAAGAAAATTCCGAATATTCCGAATATACATATATATATCGTAAATAATACAAAGTTTACGAAATAATAATCTAGGAGAGTTTCGATCCTCCCTGAAAGAAACTCGCGAAAACAATAAAGTTTATGGAAAATACGTGGACAGCATGGAGTATAACAAGATATACGGTGTTTGTTCGAAAGTATCTCGGAGGAAGGAGAAAAGAAGTGTACACGAGACTCGTGGCATCTTGTAACGTAAGAGGAGAGGTAGTGGAAAGAAGTCAAAAAGAAATACTACCAGTAGACAAGAAAGAAAGAAAAATGAATCCTTTCGAGTTTAGTTTCTTGAAAAGTAGTAAGAGAGAGAGAGAGAGAGACTTCCTACTTCATTTTTCATCGAATTAAACCGATGATCGATCGGAAAGAGACGAGGGAAAAAATATAAGAAGAAATATAAGTGAGATCGGCCCCTTTTCACTTCGACAATTTTGTCATACGTTTCAATCCATACGCGAAGAAGAATCTCCTTCGAGAGCATCGACTCCTATTACCAGAGGATCGGGAGGAGGGGGAGGGGGAGGAGGCAAAGTGAAACGTACAAAGCTGGGGGACAAGGCTGGTATAAAGAGGAAGATACGAAGCTACGTGTCGTGGGAGTAAGCGGTGGAAGAAACGTGGAAAAGGCAGCTTTTTTCTTTTTTTTTTTTTTTTTTT